TGGGAACCGGAAGAGGTAAGGAGTCCGAAATGTACCTCTGTGCCTCCACATTGTGGAAACTCACTTGTAGTGTATAAGATGAACTAGATGGACCCATACTTACCAAAACATGGATTAATAGCTTCTACACATGACTATGAGGACAAACATGAGTGAAACGGTCTCAATCCAAGGGAGGAACATCAAATGGACCAAATTTGGGAACCGGAAGAGGTAAGGAGTCCGAAATGTACCTCTGTGCCTCCACATTGTGGAAACTCACTTGTAGTGTATAAGATGAACTAGATGGACCCATACTTACCAAAACATGGATTAATAGCTTCTACACATGACTATGAGGACAAACATGAGTGAAACGGTCTCAATCCAAGGGAGGAACATCAAATGGACCAAATTTGGGAACCGGAAGAGGTAAGGAGTCCGAAATGTACCTCTGTGCCTCCACATTGTGGAAACTCACTTGTAGTGTATAAGATGAACTAGATGGACCCATACTTACCAAAACATGGATTAATAGCTTCTACACATGACTATGAGGACAAACATGAGTGAAACGGTCTCAATCCAAGGGAGGAACATCAAATGGACCAAATTTGGGAACCGGAAGAGGTAAGGAGTCCGAAATGTACCTCTGTGCCTCCACATTGTGGAAACTCACTTGTAGTGTATAAGATGAACTAGATGGACCCATACTTACCAAAACATGGATTAATAGCTTCTACACATGACTATGAGGACAAACATGAGTGAAACGGTCTCAATCCAAGGGAGGAACATCAAATGGACCAAATTTGGGAACCGGAAGAGGTAAGGAGTCCGAAATGTACCTCTGTGCCTCCACATTGTGGAAACTCACTTGTAGTGTATAAGATGAACTAGATGGACCCATACTTACCAAAACATGGATTAATAGCTTCTACACATGACTATGAGGACAAACATGAGTGAAACGGTCTCAATCCAAGGGAGGAACATCAAATGGACCAAATTTGGGAACCGGAAGAGGTAAGGAGTCCGAAATGTACCTCTGTGCCTCCACATTGTGGAAACTCACTTGTAGTGTATAAGATGAACTAGATGGACCCATACTTACCAAAACATGGATTAATAGCTTCTACACATGACTATGAGGACAAACATGAGTGAAACGGTCTCAATCCAAGGGAGGAACATCAAATGGACCAAATTTGGGAACCGGAAGAGGTAAGGAGTCCGAAATGTACCTCTGTGCCTCCACATTGTGGAAACTCACTTGTAGTGTATAAGATGAACTAGATGGACCCATACTTACCAAAACATGGATTAATAGCTTCTACACATGACTATGAGGACAAACATGAGTGAAACGGTCTCAATCCAAGGGAGGAACATCAAATGGACCAAATTTGGGAACCGGAAGAGGTAAGGAGTCCGAAATGTACCTCTGTGCCTCCACATTGTGGAAACTCACTTGTAGTGTATAAGATGAACTAGATGGACCCATACTTACCAAAACATGGATTAATAGCTTCTACACATGACTATGAGGACAAACATGAGTGAAACGGTCTCAATCCAAGGGAGGAACATCAAATGGACCAAATTTGGGAACCGGAAGAGGTAAGGAGTCCGAAATGTACCTCTGTGCCTCCACATTGTGGAAACTCACTTGTAGTGTATAAGATGAACTAGATGGACCCATACTTACCAAAACATGGATTAATAGCTTCTACACATGACTATGAGGACAAACATGAGTGAAACGGTCTCAATCCAAGGGAGGAACATCAAATGGACCAAATTTGGGAACCGGAAGAGGTAAGGAGTCCGAAATGTACCTCTGTGCCTCCACATTGTGGAAACTCACTTGTAGTGTATAAGATGAACTAGATGGACCCATACTTACCAAAACATGGATTAATAGCTTCTACACATGACTATGAGGACAAACATGAGTGAAACGGTCTCAATCCAAGGGAGGAACATCAAATGGACCAAATTTGGGAACCGGAAGAGGTAAGGAGTCCGAAATGTACCTCTGTGCCTCCACATTGTGGAAACTCACTTGTAGTGTATAAGATGAACTAGATGGACCCATACTTACCAAAACATGGATTAATAGCTTCTACACATGACTATGAGGACAAACATGAGTGAAACGGTCTCAATCCAAGGGAGGAACATCAAATGGACCAAATTTGGGAACCGGAAGAGGTAAGGAGTCCGAAATGTACCTCTGTGCCTCCACATTGTGGAAACTCACTTGTAGTGTATAAGATGAACTAGATGGACCCATACTTACCAAAACATGGATTAATAGCTTCTACACATGACTATGAGGACAAACATGAGTGAAACGGTCTCAATCCAAGGGAGGAACATCAAATGGACCAAATTTGGGAACCGGAAGAGGTAAGGAGTCCGAAATGTACCTCTGTGCCTCCACATTGTGGAAACTCACTTGTAGTGTATAAGATGAACTAGATGGACCCATACTTACCAAAACATGGATTAATAGCTTCTACACATGACTATGAGGACAAACATGAGTGAAACGGTCTCAATCCAAGGGAGGAACATCAAATGGACCAAATTTGGGAACCGGAAGAGGTAAGGAGTCCGAAATGTACCTCTGTGCCTCCACATTGTGGAAACTCACTTGTAGTGTATAAGATGAACTAGATGGACCCATACTTACCAAAACATGGATTAATAGCTTCTACACATGACTATGAGGACAAACATGAGTGAAACGGTCTCAATCCAAGGGAGGAACATCAAATGGACCAAATTTGGGAACCGGAAGAGGTAAGGAGTCCGAAATGTACCTCTGTGCCTCCACATTGTGGAAACTCACTTGTAGTGTATAAGATGAACTAGATGGACCCATACTTACCAAAACATGGATTAATAGCTTCTACACATGACTATGAGGACAAACATGAGTGAAACGGTCTCAATCCAAGGGAGGAACATCAAATGGACCAAATTTGGGAACCGGAAGAGGTAAGGAGTCCGAAATGTACCTCTGTGCCTCCACATTGTGGAAACTCACTTGTAGTGTATAAGATGA